TACAAACACACACACACACACACATTTTATTTATATATATATATATATTTATTTATTTATTTATTTATTTTAATTAAAAATATCCCCATTGCTTTCTCATATTTCTTGCTTTGCCCTCCAAAGTGTTATGCAGTCTAATCGCTATTGATTTTTTCCCCCCAGGTTTAGTTTGAAATGTAGTTTTAGTTCACTGTAGATGTGTAGCAGCAATTGAAAGGTTGCTGGTTCGATTCCATCTCAAGATAGCACTCACCTTTGAGGGTGCATTAATAAGTGCACCTGGTGTATAACCCTGCCAAATCAAACATGGAGAGCTACCTGCTATCGTGACCCTTCGGGGTTGCCAACTGACAAACACTCCAACAGAGAGAAAACCCGTTGGTGATACCAGTAAAATTTGTATTATTTTAGCTTAATAACTGTGAACATTTAAATCAAAACAAAGTGCTTTTATTTTAATTAATCAGCTGACCACTTCATCTCAATTTTTTTAAAAGGCTAATAGCAAAAACACCTGCATAATTCTTTCTAACTTCCTAAGATTTTGGTTTATGTATCCAGAAGAAAAATACAACTTTTCCTAACTGTGACTTTGGGCTGCTCCTTCTGACATGAACACCTTGCATCCACTGAGTAAACGTGCAAAATATCAGGATAATTTCAAGGTGGCAGTTTTATGACACGAGATTTGGGTCATGAAACAAGACAAGGACCCAAAGCATGTACGCAACCAGCAACAGAATGACTGAAAGAAGGAGAAAAAGCAGATTTTCCAGACTTTACTGGAAGAATTTTGCTTTAACTATTTCTGTGACATGACCTGAATATAAGCATTTGCTTATATTACCCAGCTGGTGCTGTGACTGATCACTTAGTGTGGTGAAAAAGAGCTATGAGAAGTACACTTTAATCAGAAAGCATTTGTAAATAATTAGACTTGGCTCAAGATCAGATTGATGAGAAATCAATTCAGATACTTCTCAAGTGTTTAGATTTTTTTTGTATAAAAGTCAGTGTAGAGGCTAAATGTTCACTTCTTGTTTTTATAATTCATAGATATTCTGAAGAATTCAAAGAAATATTTGAACTTTTTAATCTGCAGTACCAACATATGAGCACCAGATGGAAACCAAACACTATTGCAGTGCAGCTGATCTGCACTGAGAGGCTTTGTTGCTGCCTGTTTTCAAGTTCTAACACGTCCCCTCACACGTGATAAGGATCCTAGATTATTTGCATTAAACTATACAGATCAGATGGAGCACACCTACGCCCATTTTAGTAACCATTAGGGTCCGACCAGGTGGGGCATTGTCACCTGTTCTCATCAATTTGTATATTGATGACCTTTCTAACAAACATGAAACAAGCATGATGCTGGATGGATGGTTATTAATGATCCTTAGAGCACGTTTTTTCTCTCTCATGGAGACTAAAGTCAGATATTTGGGTCACATAATCAGGAATGAGCTTTGTAATAATGATGATGATGATGTGCAATGCACATTTTTAGAGCTTGCTGTATTTGTGTTAAAAGCAAATGCTTCAGGTGGCATGTGATGACACTTTGAGGATCTTGCTCAAGCTTCAAAGATGAATAAATGGAGTCTGAGTATTTAGAACTATACTGTTCCCAACTGTAATGCCATGCTGAGTTATTGTTTGTATAAACATACATGTCGAAGTGATTCTAAAAACACGGCCTATGCTTTAACTGGCACAAGATATTCCTCCTGCCCCTGGAAACACTGTAAACATTGCCCGTTTGTGCAGTGATCGCTTGTGATTGCATTTTTGCATTGCTGTATTCATACTGTTACTTTTTGTGTATTGAGATGCATCAGAAGTAAAGTTTCCCTATCTAAAGTTTTTAAAAATGTCAAGAATTTTTCAGCTACGCCTCCAGCAGGAATCTGCTGTTACTTTGAACGTCATGTGGGAACACGTTGAGTTATGACAGTTTGAGTCACACCTGCCAAAAGAATGAGAAAGAAAAAAACTTTTAAAAAAAATAGTGTAGGGGACTGACTGTGATTGGATGTTTGTTCTGCAGCTACTTCCTGTGGTGCTTCTGCTTTATGTCGCAACATGTTTCTAAAAACCAGTCTTCTTCCTCTTGGTGTCACGTGTAAATATGGAGCGGCCTTCAGTTTGCTTATTTATGACCATCATATTATTTTCAAATGCATTTTAACTACATTAAAGCTGAATGCAGTTCTGCTCTTGCAGAGCTGTTTGTCTTGTTTCTAGAGTTGTGCGATTATTTTATTCTCTATAATTTCTTCATTTCTTTTTTTAAGGGATGAACTTCTTCTTTGTTGTTATGTGTTCTAATGAATCTTTGTTGTCTGTTTACTTCTCTGTTTATTAATTCAAGTGTGGCCTGGATACTAGATACTATTGTGTGCGTTTTTTGCATGAATAAGGCAATCTGACCTTCTACATACACGCACAGACGCCCACACACACCTGGCAGTATGGAATATTGATGATTATTCAACAGTGAGTTTCTGTGCTGTTTGTGAGCTTTGCTCCAAAGAGAAGATTCATTCATTTTGGTCGCTTCTGCGTCCTGTGAACATGTCAGGTAAACATAGTACACCTTCTGCATTTAAAATGCAATAAAACTCTAAGCGCGGACCTCACTAAAAGACATTTAAAGCAATAAAAATCCATCAAGCAGAAAAAGAGAAAACTTTGATTCTTTTTTTCATTATTATCACTGCTATAAATCTGATCGGATAAAGTTTCATATTTATTTAAAGCTGAACTAAGCAGCAGACAGACTGAAGCATTGATTGTGTGTTAACCATTACCTGTCAGATGGTTCAAACCGGTGGACAGACACAGGTCCTCCACAGTTACTGGGTAACCACCTAGCAACCATTCTATCATCACCATAGCAGCGTCTTTACCGCACAGCAGCCTGGTCCAAAGTCCTCTGCTTTTTTCTTATTGGCCTACTGGTTTCCTCCAGCTCTTCTTCTGTTCTCTATTGACTTTGTCAAACATGTAGTGGAAACATTCCCTATGATTATGTTTGACCAAGACTGACCTAATGCTAGAAGATACTTTTATGGGCCACCTTTGAAGAAAAAGGTGGCCTATAAAAGTTGGTCTTAAGAACATTGTTCTTAAGACAAAGAGGGGAGACGCAGTAACTGTTTAAAACAGGGATAAAGGCAGAAAATTTTAAAGACATTTCTAATGTTGCTCCAGATTGTTCAAGTGACAAGACAATTCCTCCAACCTCAATACCCGACATCTGGGGGGGCGATTGTCGCTCAAGAGTTGGGAGTTCGCCATGTAATCGGAAGGTTGCCGGTTCGAGCCCCGGCTTGGACAGTCTCGGTCGTTGTGTCCTTGGGCCGTTGTCTACTGGTGGTGGCCAGGGGGCCCAGTGGCGCCAGTGTCCGACAGCCTTGCCTCTGTCAGTGCGCCCCAGGGTGGCTGTGGCTGCAATGTAGCTTGCCATCAGTGTGTGTGAATGGGTGGATGACTGGATGTGTAAAGAGCCTTGGGGTCCTTAGGGACTAGTAAGGTGCTATACAAATACAGGACATTTACCATCTCAGCCTCCTCATGTCCTTCTAGGCTCTCATTAAGACTGTTGCATTCGAAAGCACTATCACTAGCCATGAGTCATAATAAACCTCTGACATCGTAGATGAATATGGCAATATTATTATGTTATATTATATTTCTGTAGAGAGTCACGGTCATGTACGTCTGATCAAGCCTCATCATTAAGGCCCTGAAGAACTAGTATAACAAGTTGTCCTGATTGAACTGATTGGATAAAGTTCATGTGCCACAGTTGCAGGTCTGTACACATGCCTTTTAAAAAACAATTTTAAAAGATTTCCATTTATACTGAGTTGTATCGCGTTCACTTAGCTCTACAAACTAACTGGCTTTATAGAGTAAGACGTTGACTATGTTACTGAACAGTAATGTGGGTCTGTTGTGGAGAAGAAAGAAAGTAAAGTGAACTTGTTGAATGACTCGTAGTGTGACCAAAGGAATGAGTTTACAGATACAAGTGGCAAAGAGGCCCTTTGTTACTTCAGAGGGGTTTACAGGAGAGCTGCTACTTTTCCACACTGAGCATCTTACCAGGATGCTTCCTAGGTGTTTCAGGGATCTCCGGCTGCGTGGAGACCCAGGGGCAAATCCAAGGCATGCTGTAGGGAAGGTCTGAGCTGGCCTGGAAGTGCCGCGATGCCCCTCAGTGCAAAGAGCTGAAGGAGATAACTGGGGGGAGGAAATCCCAGATCTGGATAAGTGGCACAAAATGGATGAATGGATGGAAAAGGACAGAAAATTTAAACTCAACAGTAATCTGAATACAAGTAATCCAGGTACAGACAAAATATTTACAGGCACACAAGTTTTGTTCGTTCTTACAGCTATTGAGTCTTTCCTCTACATGTTTATTATATACATAAAGAATCAAACAGCACTAGGACCCATCTATGAGTATCTCCTCAGCAGGAGATTGGAAGTATTTTTGTTAATTATTCATGAGAAAGAGACGGGGTCAGTCACATTTCAACAGCTCAAGATGTTGTTACCTGTCAGACAAGTAAGCTGTGATTCAGAGCCACAGGTGAGAAGCTGTCGCCTAATCATTTACAAATCATTTACGTTTAAAAACAGACAGCAATGATAAGTCTTTGAGGCCTATAGTGACCTCAATCATCACATGCAACACTTGCCTTCCAGCAGTAAGTTTAAATCTACGCATGCGTAGATGTTGTGGCGACAGATGGTCAACTCACCTCACAAAAGACAGAGAGAGGGAGAAAGAGAGAGACTGGATGGCACAAATGGAAGATTTGTCACGTGATCCCCGAGGCCGTTTTAATGACGCAAGCACCATATGGCGCGTGCCAGGAGGGCGGGGCCTCAATATGCTAATTACCCCCACCAAACCCCGCTGCGTGTGTGTACTGAGTATAAAACCAGCAGCATCCCACACACACCTCAGAAACCTCATAGCAGATCACGCACAATCACGCACGGACACGCAGACAGAGCGCGCGGGATGTGTGCGATCTGACATACAGCGGCTCATTACAGCAGGTAGGTTCATAACTGAATAATAATCAATATGCGAATTCCTCTGGTTGCTGGGTCTCGGCGTTGTCTGACCTTGGGAATGATGAATATGGTTTCTTATTTGTGATTAATTTTTTTTAATTATTTTTAAATTCATAATTAGAACGTTAATGATCACTTCACTTACCAATGAATAAAATAGCCTATTTCGTCTCATCTAATGTATAGACAATTAGAAAGGACAGTTTAAAAAAACAAAAGCAAAAGCCTGTAATTTTTTTTTGTAATAATTAAAAACAGTTTCCTTTTTTTTGGTTTATATATTATATATTTGAGTTTTTATCCTGTTTGTTGACCAATCTGTTACACACTTTTTCCTAAAATAAAAAACGTAATGTAATTATTAATCCGTTGAGTTTCGATTGTATTTTATATTCGTGTTAGTACCGAATGTCTGCTCACCTGCAGCCGTCTGTCGGTCTGTTAAACTAACGGAATCAGTCAGCAGAAAGAAAGTCTTAGTATTATTATTATTTTATCACTATTATTATTGTAACTTCGCCTTATAAAAAACTACACTTTTTATCAATAAGCTGTAACACAATGCCTTTCGCATTTCGCACACTTTGTTAAATACTTTAAATGTTTTTTTAATATATATATTTATTTAGAGTTTCGATATATTTTAAACGCTTTCTGTTAAATCATTAAAAAATAATCTGAACAGAGACGTGATTGCGTTTCTCTGGAGGCAGTTTGCGATCCTTTGCGCGGGTGTTACCGACACATTCTAATATCTAAATATGAAAACACGCTTTGTAGCTAATTGTGCAGCCATTCTTAACACCGCAGTTTTCTTTTATTACATTATTTTTTCTTCTGTAGAGATGGTACCTTTGTCTGCACATTTTATGTTTATATTTGGCATTTATATTTAATATTGGATTCGGTTCAATAGAGGATCTTTCTTTCTGTCTTTCAGCGGGTCAATTAAAATGTCCAATTGCTCCTTTAATTTCATCGTCTTTGTTCTGTTTTATTTAAATAAAGACCATCTAAATAAAATTCTACCCAAATGTTTTAAAGTCTGGGACTAAATCTTAAAATCCCAAACTGTTAATTGTTCTCTGTTCTGTTAAGCTTAAGTGTGACAGCAAACTTTCAGGAGTGTTTTATTATTCTTTAATATCAGCTAAAATTGTTTTCCATCAGAAATCAGCATCATGACGAGGTCTGTGCTGGAGGAGCAGATGTCAGTGGAGTCGGATGAGCAGCAGGAGCTCTGCAGCCCTGCAGAAAGAGAGAGGAGTGGAGAAGGAGTTACAGGTGGAGGAGGGGAGGAGGAGGAGGACCGCTTCCATCATCTAGAGGAGGATGAGGAGGATGATGAAGAGGAGGAAGAGGAGGAAGAAGAAGAAGACGGGGAGAGCAAACCCAAAAGGCGAGGGCCCAAGAAGAAGAAGATGACAAAGGCTCGTCTGCAGAGGTAGATTCTCTTTTCCTCTGCTTGCTCTCAGTGTGATGTGAAAGCAACACTTTCAAGTTAAACATTAAAAATCCAAAGTTGCACTAGCGGAAGTCTCACAAGGTTCAACCTCTGTAAAGCAGGACCCATTCAGTAGAAATCACTTGCATTGGATTAAACTATTAAAAAGACACAAAACCGCTTAACAGGAATAAAAATATTCAAAGGATGGTTGAAATTCTAGTTTTAATTTTGTAGTTTTCTGCATTTTTTATGATCACACTTGTAGAGATCGATAGATAGATTTATGCTTTATAATGAAGGTCAGTGTTTTGGCTCACATACATGTAATTTTTTTTTAAAGCTCTAACTTACTCTTAGCTCTAAATGCAGGAAATTATAGACATGAACAGGATTCATCTTTAACCAAAGATTTTTTTTTAACCACATAGTATTAACATTTACTTTGCAGACACAAACACGGCACCGGGAAACTAAGAACATTGGCGTCCTAAAAGTGTGTCTGTGTACAGTGACATCTAATAGAAAATACTTCAAATTTTTCAAACTATAAGGAAAGAAAATGAAATAAGACTCACAAATTTAGTCACTAAACTGTGCTCATTTAAAATGTCCTTTGTAAGGCAACTTTCCAAACGAATGCCGATTCTGCGTTTTCAGTCAAGAGACTTTTCTGTCATTTTGTGCAGTGCTGTTTAGGAGTAAGATAGATGTGGGCATTTGTTAAAACTTACAGGGCCTGTCAATCATCAACATTCATTCTGTATGCACAATAATTGCTTTAGCATGTACTTAGTCTCATCCTCAGCACACACACAGCTGACATCAAAAGGCTCTGTGTGTGTGTGCTGAATCATTGAAGAAATAGCAACTTATAGCTTACAAATTAAATAGAAACATAACTGGATACATAAATAAATAGGGGGAACAAAGAAATGTGCTGAGGGTCATTTTCACAGGTTCCTCCCACAGTTTAATGAAGTCCCTCACTGAACCTGTCACTACAGGCGGCTCTGTGTTGGAGCTCATATTGAATCAAGCCATCTGCCACAATTTTCTCTGGAAACATGTTTTTGTTCAGATTTTGATTAGCAGAAAATTGTTACGTACATTTGATCAGTAAGTGCTTGCAAAATACCAGAACACAGAGTAAATTCAATGTGAGACAACATGCAACGTTTTACATCTACATACAATTGTTTGCAAACTTATGCAAAAGGTTACTGAATAAAAACGAACACTACTAAGATGTTTCAGAGGAAATGAGAGATAACCCAGCTAACAATGAATCTGCTTCATGTATTTTGGAGGTTTAAGGTCCGTCGGATGAAGGCTAACGCCCGGGAAAGAAACCGCATGCACGGCCTGAACGATGCCCTGGAGAGTCTGCGAAAAGTCGTCCCCTGTTACTCCAAAACGCAGAAACTATCAAAAATTGAGACACTGCGCCTCGCCAAGAACTACATCTGGGCCCTGAGCGAGATACTGCGCTCTGGAAAGGCACCTGACCTCATGAGCTTCGTCCAGGCACTCTGCAAAGGTAAATCCCACCTAACATTAACAGACTACAATGGACTGGACCGAAGGCTGACCCAGTCTGGTCTCTGATTATGAAACATAAAGGGACAACAAGGATTTTTACCCAGGAAGCGTTTTCCCATTGGGCACAATGAGCATGTGTACTCCTTACACTCTTTAGTGTGACAGTTTAGCTGATAGATGAGACTGTAATACAGCTTTTTTACAACAGATATTTATAAGCGTCACAGTAGGAGCAGCACAGGTAAAATTAATGATGTCTCATGAGTAGGTAGTTTTTCTAATGAATGAGTGTGGTTCAACGAGGTGAAGTCGTCAATACGTGTAATGCAAAATAACAAAATTCCTGAAAAGTTTTCATAAAGAAATTAGTTCGATAAATGTATAATGTTTCGGGTGAATGTGTTTCGTGAGGTTTGAGGTTTTTTTTACAAGCCACATTTAGCTCATTGGTTCATCTACTTATTCATAGTTTACTGGTGGATGCATGCAGATTTTTCTGGGATGAGGTCATCTGATTTCATGTAAAAGATTATGTCTATTAAACTAGCCCTGTATGTGTTTAAAAAAAGAGAAATTACTTGACTGCAAACAGCAGTACTAATTAGATTTTTTTGCTTGTGTTTTTTTTTTTTACATAAAATAATAAAATTAGTTAATTAGTCACAATTTTAAGATTCTCAAAAAATAGCATTAATTAATATGTACTGGCATTTATTAACAGCTATTACAGCATACAGTTATAATATTTAAAAACAACTTAATAAAAAACAATATTACAGTACATGGATGATTAGTTAACTAGTGCTTCTATTACATTTAATAGCAGGTATTCATATTTATTAACATGTATAAATGAACCTCGTGACAATAGACTGATACCAATAAACTGTGTTTATAGTCATTAACAAGTATTGACAACACTAATTATTAACTATTTAATGCTATAAAGAAACAATGACCAGCATGTATTGATCAGTATTAACTAATCATTGTCCTTCTATTGTCAGGTCTGTCTCAGCCGACCACTAATCTGGTGGCGGGCTGCCTGCAACTTAACCCTCGGACGTTCCTGCCAGAGCAGACTCCAGACCTACCGGCTCACCTTCCCCCTGTCGGTGCCAGTTCCTACCCCGGACATTTTCCCTACCAGAGCCCCGGGCTTACGGCCGGCCTGCCCAGCCCTCCCTACGGCACCATGGACCCCTCTCACATCTTCCACCAGGTCAAAGGTCAACCCTACGGCCCACTGGAGCCCTTCTTTGATGGCGTCCTCGTGTCGGACGGCCCGGCGTTTGACCCGCCGCTCAGCCCACCGCTCAGCATCAACGGGAACTTCTCCTCGTCCTTCAAGCACGAGGCCGTCGCAGCCACCGATTACGACAAGAGCTTCTCCTTCAGTGTGCACTATGGAGGCGGGGGAGCTGGAGGACACCCTGCCATCTATGGCAGCGGGGGTTCCAATCCACGCTGTGGTGACCTACAAGTGGACGGGCTGATGGGCTTTGACGGACACTCACACCACGAGCGGCTGATGAACGCCCAGCTGAACGCCATCTTCCATGACTCCTGAGGAAGAAGAGGACGAAGGACTGAGAGACTGATGAAGACAGAGAGACCTTTGTATGGAAAGACAGTCTTGTGTACTTCTATCGTTTTAAAGCTGTCTTTCTGTCTGTCCTTGCTTTTTTTCTTTCTGTCTGCGTCAGGCTCTGCGACTCATCCTGACAACGGCGACGTCGCAAAGATGTCACCTTGATGTAACCTTCTTTGTAGCACTTCATCCTGCGGGAGACGCTCTCTGAATGTCTCGTTATTATCCATATTATCACTTAAAAATAATCAATAATCAATGAGCAATAATCTGGAGTAAACTATGCAATTTTGTTAAAAATCTGAGTGACCCTCAGTATAATAATTCCAAATGTTGAAAGAATAAAGATTTCTCTATTTTTGGGTCAGTGTGTGAGGCAGCGTTGGGCCGGTGATGGGCCGGTGATGAGCTGAAGTGTTTATGTGATTTTTATTTTTTGCTTTTTATAACATTCCTGTAGTGTTCTGTTAACATTTCATGTGACTCTTGTTCATATTTTATAAGATAGATGTTTATAAATACCTTTTATTAAAAGGGATTCAATGTGATCCGTCTCAGAGACTCTCATTATGTGCAGAAAGACAACAAAACAAATAAACACAATGTCATTAGATACAAATAACATGCCAGTTTTGGTCCTGCTGTTGTTTTAGAGCAGTATATAATACTTAGTGGTTACTTTATAAGGTATATACTGTTAAACTGCTCGTTAATGGAAATATCAGCCATATTAGCAGCAACTCCATGCATCTAGCAATTTAGACATTTTCAAGATGACCTGCTAAAGTTCAAACCAAGCATCAGCATGGCCACCACAGTCACCAGATCTCAATCTAACAGAGCACCTTTAGGATGTGCTGGATCGGGAGATTAATGTCATAAAGATGGATCTGACAAATCTGCTGCAAATGTATGATGCTGTCCTGCCAACATGGGCTAATATCTCTGAGGAGTTTTTACATATTTGTGCCAGTCCTGAAGATAAAAGGGGGGTCCAACACAGTACTAGCAATACATACCTAATAAAAGTGGCTAGTGGGTAGATACCTCAAATGAAATACATCATTATATATATATTGATGTATTTTTAAGAATTTATTCAGCCTAATTAATGTGAATAATCTTTTGTTTTCTTAGTCTTTTCTGTTGGAAACACCCTTCAGTTTCAGAAAGTCTAGACCAGGGGTGCCAAACATAAGATCAGGCAAAAGACTACAACCCAGGCCACTGGACAGGTTTATAAAATGTGTAGAAGTGCATAGATTTGGGACTTTTAACAGTATTTTCACAAGTTATACACATTTTCCTATTGACAAATACTTCCATCCCCCATTGTATCTATACTACATCAAAGTACAAGGCTTCTGTAAATTACTGAAAACTTTATATTTAAAAATTTGGAATTACAGGACTGTCTGAGCAATGACTAACCAGAACCTTCTCTGTAAGGTTATACGTTTACTGTAGTTTCACTGGTTCAACCAACTTTGATGTGAAGTGGCCCACATTTTTAAAGAGTTTGACATCCTTGGTCTAGACAAAAACACTGAAGGTTAAATTTTGGAAACCAAATCAACATCCCGAAATCTGAGTTCTTATAAGGTTGCTGTTTAAGGGGTTTAAACTGAGGTTAGGTGTTTTTTCAATGCAATGTAATGAGTGCTTAGCCTGAAGAGGAAGAAATTGGCTGCTCGCAGCTATGCGAGTATTCTTGAAAAATTCCCACAAGATCTGATGTCATAATAACGTCACAAATTTTGCATTGACCGCTGTGTTTAGGCTCTTTGCACAACACTAAACACACAAGGGAGAAATTCATATCTCCTTCCAGAGGAAATCATGCTAATGACATTATCATGCCAAATAAAGGACAAAACTCAGATTACAGTCTCTCTCTCTCTCTCTCTCTCTCTCTCTGTGTGTGTGTGTTTGTGTGTGTGTGTGTGCATGTGTGTGTGTGAAGGGCACAGATGTTCGTTCTGCAAGCAAGATTTTAATTTATGAAAATGATCTTGTTTATGCATGAGAGCCCCCCTCCACACACTGCTGTCCTGCTGAGTATTGGTGTGTGTGTGTGTAAGTCAACAGGGACAATATGGTGGCCATATCCCACCATTTAGCCTTCCTGTTGGTGGAATAAATGGAATAATAATGAGAGAAACTTCAACTAAAGCATGAATAAATCCTGGTCAGAACTATAGAATTTAAACCACAAAGAAAAGATTATATAAGTAAAAACTAGGTTTTGTTTTTTTTTTAACTTTCATTACTCAGGACGATGTAAAAGCAGGTAGAAAATCAGAGAAAGGGTAAAAACAAGTGGCAAAGGCTCTTTTCAACAGTCAAACAGTGGAAGCTGTAATTATTGGTACAGATCCTAAATATCTGGAAGCTCTGAAAACCTCACTTCAAAATAATCATGTTTCCAGTAAAGGGACATTGTGAAGGCAAATGTGGAGCTCTGGAAAAAACCTCAATGACGGCTGCTTGTGTAAGTTGCTCACAGTGAAACTACAAATGCATTATTACACTCAGAAGGTAGCTTTTGCTTTAGCAGCAGCAGCTGTATTATCAGTATTATTAATTAACAGTATTAGCACAAGTCTTTGTGATAGTGGTTTTGCGTTTCAGTCTGTTGGCTGATCATAACACTGATTAATGCAGCTTTAACTCAGCCATCTGTCAGCAACACACACACAAACGTTTGTGTTGTGGCTCATAATATGGTGTTTATACCAGAGTCACTTTCCTCTTTGATTGGCCGTCTATTATAGCATATAGGGGGACTCATGCCTTGACTATAATTAATTGGATGGATGGATGGATCAAAATGCAGCCAGTCATATCAAAAGTATTGATGCTTTATGTTCTGTTTGCTGTTAACTGGCTTTTGCTAAATATACTATTTGTCTCTTAGTATGAGGGAGGATCTAAACGCAGCTTTTATTTGTGTCTTTAGTTACTGGAGAAGATGACAGAGTAAAAGCATCTATTAAGAGACGAATCACTTCCACTGGTTCCATTATACATGAAAGTTATATTATCATACCATATTGTGGTCAGAAATTAGCTGCAAATCTATGTTTGTGTATAGATTAAATTAGCCAGATATGCTAATATACATATTAATTAGTGAGTTTTAGAGGTGCTAGAATGTCTGTGTTTTCTCCAAGTGAACTCCAAGTTTGTAACTACAAACACATGAGAATGTTTAGTTGGCTTATTGGCCAGATGTATCACCTGTTTTGGAACAGATTAAACACCTATAGATGTGAAAACACAATAGATTAAAATGCTAACTTTACATAAAATAAAAGTTTAAATCCTCCTTAACTGTCATGTAGTACATTACAAGTGCAATCAGTCTAGCTAGCCTGCGACAGTGCTAGCTTACTGATTCCCAGTTTTAAAAACAGTGAAAAATAAAAATCGAAAAATAAAACAACATGGAAACATAAAATACCAAACTCTTGAAATATCTTAAGATATTTAAGGTGTCAAAGGTAAGGTCTACCTTTTTTAAATAATTGTTCTGCTGTTTAGCCTGCAATGTTAATTATATTTTGGTCTCCAGTGACTCCTTTAAATATAATTTAAAAATTTGGATTGCTAATCACATTCACACTAAAATGCAGCAATAAACAAACCTGAGTTTCGAAGCTCACACAGGTGCGCGCGCGCGCGCGCTTGTTGATTACACACCAGTGAATCTGCCGCGTGCTCGAACTGTGCCAGTCCGCTAAACTAAAGCCGCTGCCTGTTGCCATAGCGACAAGACCCGGAAATACACCGTGATCAGCTTACTACGTGTTTATCAGAGGGTATCAAACTCATAACGGTAGAGTTTTTGTTGTTGTTGTTTGTTTGTTTTTTGTTTATTTGCTTGTGCGTAAATAAACAGTAGATATGTCGGAGCCCGAGGAGCTGCCGCAGAGAGAACAGCGAGAGAGTACGAAGAAGAAGAAGAAAACGAAGCGGAGTGGGAAAAAGAAGAAGGAGCAGCGGGAAGGAGAGGAGCAGGTGGAGTTTGAGCAGGAGGTGCAGAGGTGAGTGGTTCTTGTGGGTTTCCTCCAGGGTCGCGTTATACACAGAACCCGTTTTGGACCCACACGTGTCTCGGTTCATACAATAAAGTGACATAGCAGAGGAGAGAAAGAGCCGACTACTCGTAGTCAAAACCCGTCTCTTCAGGAAGCTTTTCAAAGTAAAAGCACACCAGTTAAATCCTTACAAAGTCAATAAATAAATAAACGATTGTGCCAACGTGCAACTGTTACTCTTCCGGTTTAGACATGTTATTGAGGTACTATTTCCCGCAACCCAAATGATACATATTAAACATAAAAAACAATTTAAAATGGACTAATTGACCTTGCAAAGCACATGGCTGTGCACTGTGGTTATGAACAGACTCTAAACTGTTTATGCTCAATAAAATAAATGAAAATAAATTTCTATGAAGAAAAGCGAAATTGCATGCAAGTGACACATTTTAATCCTGCTAGCAAGCTATGATTGATGGACAGCAATTGGTACACTCCCACTATGTTTCATAAAGGGAGATGAAGTATGTCAACATAAATAATAATTGTTTGGCTCACAACTTCATACCAAACTAATTCTTGTTTTCAAAACGTCTTGGTACTTGGTGCATATCTTTGGTTTTCACCACAGATTTGTTTTTTCTTAGTTTTTATTCATTATTGAATCAATTTAGCTTAAGGATTCAAAGAGGAGCTAGAGAGGAAGTTTGATATTAGAGCACTTTTCAGAGAAAGTCTGATAATCAGTCCCCTTGTTTGCATATGTAATCAGGTTACCTCCTCAAACAGATAACATAGAATTAGCAAACACAAAGAAAGACTAAAGAGTAGCTCCTGTCTGTATATACACTCAGCGGGTTATTAAATTAGAAAAGCTATTTTAAAGCAGTGCAGAATGCCTGAGAGTCACACTTCATTATCTTCCATTATATGCTGAACCTTGCCTGATGTTTGTGTTGTCATTTGTAGAAATAAAGAATAAATAATGATGAAAAGGTACAAATAAGGTTGATGAAAAGGTTGATGAGCATTCATCAGAATTTACAAAAATGATGTACAATTCACAATTTCCTGGGGAAGGATCTAGAACGCATTAACAATAAAGTTACAGAATTAATATTGCATTGAAATAGACTTTTTTCTGTCTTTCTTTCTTTTATTTAACAGGGACAAAAATCTAAACATGCCAGATTATAGTAAAACTGCTAATTCACATCTGTATTCCTGGGGCAGATCACATAAAACTTTATTATAAACAATAAAAATACAGATATGTGACAAACACTTATAGAGTAAAATGATATGAAGTGTGCTGTTATGTTTACTAAACATAAACATGTTTTATATTAGAGGTGACACATCTAAAAAAAAAAAGAAAGTGCAGTGACACTAGTAGCTCTTCACACTCTGTTCATACATCGTGCAGTTTATTCCCTGGACGTTGTGTCGTCAGGTAAAAGTCCAGTATGAAGTATGGTTTATACTTCATACTTTGCGACTGGTTCTACGTGACAAATGTAATACATACAAGTAAACTCTATCCAAGATTATTGAAAAAGGTGTATCATAGGGAGGATTGCTTGGCTGTCATGCAGTTCAAATGAACAGAATTTGGGATAGCAGATGTTTAGTTCCTGTAAGGACAGCAAGACATCTGAGCAGAAACATGCTCAGAGATCTGTAGCAGTAGTAATTCTTTTTGGAACCCCGCCCCAAAAAAAACATTTTTCTGTGTCAAATATGAGAATTTTAGGTCTGTGTCTATATACTTAATATCTCTGTGTTCATACTAAAGTTGTCCCAATACTTGAATTTCAAGACAAAAAGACAAAACATTTAGATGCATTTTTAAAAATAAAGGTTAGAAAAATACAAACAATAATATCGGTGACAACAGTACTTGTAGTGCAAAAAAATATAAACACCACTGTACTGTTATGTATATATATTTTTAGGTAGTGCTGGGTTTTTAGTGATTTGGCTCCATGTTTTGGTTGTTGAAGAAATTGTTAGTAAGATAGGTTGCCACTGTTTCTAACTCAATGTATACTTTTCTCAGCTTCAAACTTTATGACTAACATAACAGTTTTTAGACACAAATATTATCCTGTTAGAATAAGACCATCTTTTATAAAGTTATAAATGGTCAAGACTGATCATTTCTGCTCCTACATTAATGTTACCATTTTGCGATTAGCCACAGCAGCTAGCTGCTACCTTAATGATAATAGTGGTAGCAGCTAGCTAATAATGGATAATGTGGCTATCGGAAAAAAGTACCTTTGGCTGCTCTCTCATTTTACAGAGGTTGCCACAGCAGATAGGTCCGCATGTTTGATTTGGTCCTGACACAGCTCTCCCGACTATCCAGGCTTGGGACCAATGTCATGCCAAAAAGTGATCATCTGCTAGCAAGCAGTTGCCAGTTTTTGCCAAAAAAAGATTTTCTGTAACTGCTGTAAAAGACTTGTTGAAGACTTGTTATAATTTATCAAATATTTCTGTCTTGAATGATATAAAATCATTTTGAGTCCAGAAAGAACATTTCTGTTTCAAGCAAAAGCTGCAGCCAGTTTTTGGCAAAGTGCAAAACAGGTATTTTTAAAAAAAAATTTTAACTAGTAAACCCCCGTGCTACATGCAGGAGACAGGAAGCATACAAGCATACTTACATATGCTACGATCATTATAGTATGATATATTATATTGTGACACACCATTCTACTCTGACATTACATTCAGTGCTCAGTTGAACAGTGAAATGTACAAATATCTAAAATTGTGGGATTTATATAAAACATTTGTAAACGCTAGACAGATGTTGTCACTCATGGTGCCTGAGGCAATGTGTATGCAAAGTTTCATCAAGTTTTGTTACTTGTCTAAGAGGAGAAAGGGAACGTACAATCAGACATACAGAGATACATCTGCAATAATCACTATAGTGTTATATATAACCTCTTCATAAATCCTGTTTACACAGCCTATTTACCGATATATAAAGAAGGTTATTAGACTTAGAAAACATATACAAATTGTCAGACGTTGGTAATCATCTTTTGGCGTGACATCGTGTTTGGAGTGCACTTGCTTGAGACCCCCTAAGGTTGGGTTTGTGGCTATCAGGTAACTGCTGATGAAACTAGCTAACAGTGATGTGTGTGTGTACCAGGTTAACGTTTACGATAACTGTTCGGTACCTAAATTTTGTTGAAACGGGAGCCTTACTGACCTTTAAAGTCCCCAAAGTGTTGTTCAGTGTTGTGAACTTCAGCTAGGGGACAGGCTGTGTGATGGATGGATGGACAGTTGGATGAAGTTGTGTGTCAGCTGGAGGAGCCAAAGATGACAATGTTTGTATCAATAGTGTTGCAAAAGTGTCTAATCCAATAGTAATTTTTGGTATCAATTATAGTCTGGGAATCGCCTTTTTTTTTTTTTTTTTGGACAACCTCATTTTGAGTTGTTGGCCATAGAAACCTTTACCTGGGCTATCGTAAACTCTTGTATTCACCATTTTCACTAATTTCCATTTATTTTCTGACATTTTAAAGCCTAACAGACTAAGCCGTAAAATGATGAATCAACTTGTTCTTCACTTTGCCAATTATAAACATTTGTTATATATATTTATTGACATGATTGATATCTATGACTTCCTATTGGACAAAGTAAACTGTGTGTGTTTATTGTGTGTCAGTGTCAGTGAGTGCGTTGTGCTGCACGGGATCTTCAAACTGGGCAAGAAGAGTCACGACGTCCTGCTCACCCGAACCAAACTGACCTGGACGCCTATCATCCCGGAGAACCCCACAGGTCAGTGTCCATGGTGATGGGTTGTCATGGTGTTGAGTAGACCTGGTGGTGGTGGTGTCAGACAGACAGACTGTGGGTGTTTTTCTTTCTGTATCTAGAAGCAGCTGGTGTTGTAATGGAGAAGTTATCTTGTGTTGAGACCACCTGAAACTTGACATCACACACACGCACACACAGTTCCATTGTGACACAATTAACCCCACACCCCCACCCCGGGTACGCTCCCTAATGCTGCAGTGTGCGTTTTTGTTTTTTTTTAATTTGGAGGAAAAAGTAACATGTCATGCTAACAGACTAATTATCTTTTCAGAATTTCGTTTTTTTTTTCAGTGTGAAATTGGCTCTTGTAGTTGACTGTGGAGTATGACTACATCTTATCAGGACACTGATAAATCCAATACAGTTTGCCAGACTGAAATCTGCTGTCTGGACAAGCCTGTGTAAAATCATCAGATGTGTTTTTTGTGTATCTAACCCCTGTTTGAGCCGTTTATGTTTTAGCTTACATGTGGGTGAGAAAACAAATGAAAAAAAGACCAAAAAACATTTTTTTTAAATGTTTACATTTTATTCTGTTTAATTCTGTTTCCTGTGATCCTTTTCCGGCCCAATAGTTGTAGTAGGCTCTTTGTTCTGATTCTGAACTGGGTTAAAAATCTTCTGATCCATACAATAAATGGAAGGACACTGCATTTCCCAATGAGAAACTGGAGACGTTATCTAATATATGGTATAATGAAGATAAAAGATCATAATTATACATCATGCCCTGTAACAGGAGACATTTTTAGCTTGTATTTATTTACATTTAAGTAAATTAACTATAGCACTTTAGCTATTAGGAATTGACAGCCATAATTAGAAGATTATGATTGATTATGAGATGAAGTGTATCAGACTAATAGGGCAAGAATTGATATTCACACCTATACGAGGTAGCGTCATCGTCCTGTCTGCTTAATTGTAGAGCTGATTAACCATCTTTATCTCACCTTTAATGATGAAATGGGGTTTTATTTATTTATTTATTGTGAATGCAGTTTGTCTTTAGGAGTTCTGTGTCTTCAAATGACTTTCACTGGGCTTTACACATCACTTGTTAATTCACATTTGACTCTGGCTAGAGTGATTGGATTTGTTGTCCTTCTTGTTCATTAATTCTTGAGGTTTTGAGTGAATTTGACCTTTTTTAGACAGTAGCAGTAGCAGAAAAGAGGAAATCTAGGAAAGGGAGCAGAGGAATGAAATGCAGCAAGCTCACAGGCTCAGAGTCGAATGAAGGACTCATTTACTGAGGGCATTTTTGACTCTGGGGTATGCACGCTACCCACTCTAGTAATCATGCTGTCTTTAACCTTCAGCTTGCATAGCTAAATAAATTAAATGCACCTCAACACTTGACTTAGTAGAAGATCTCTTGCCTCTTTACCCTTTCCCCCCCCCATCTTCACCTGTCCTTATATCTACCATCTATACATCCAGGCATCAGCGCTCCATATCTCAGCTACATCTCCAGTATGCAAAACCAAAAGCCAGCCCTGTGATGGCTTTAAAGCTTAAACGACTCTGCTTTATTCTTGTGTAATATGGTGGTATCATTTTGCTGTGAGATTTCTGGTTGAAAACCGTTCAAACAGAACTGGTTAGTGAAGCAGGATGAAGGTGTAATTTAAATGTGTGTGTGTTGTTGAAGCCAATCTGTTTTGCTGTATTTCATCCAAGCTAATGTCATTAAGCCAGCACTGTGTGTGTGTGTGTGTGTTGGCAGTAGTAGAGAGCAGTTGGTTCAGCCCGTGGGGGGTTATTAGAGTCTCTCAGTGTGAGGAGATTAACACACACACACATACAAACACACACACACACACACACACACACATAGTCAGCCTGTCAGCATGCTGTGTGTGTGTTGATTAGATATTTCTATATAAATGGATCAGCTGTTATTGTTTGTTTCTACACATAAATCCATCCTGTCTGTCTCTCCGTGTGTCAGGGAGGTGAGATCTGAGCAATCAGACAGTTGTGTTGTGTCAAAGCAGGAACTTGCAGCTGTGCTGAAGAATTTAAAGCCCAAAATGCAGTTAGCGCACAAGAAATCAATGCACTGTTGGGAATCATTATACTGTCAAACACCCATTTTTTGTAATATTAGAAACATGTTTACCTCAAGTTGTGTTTCATGTCGTAAACAGTGAAGTATTCGCTGGAGTCAATCCTGTGCTTCTAAAGCAAGAAAAACAAAAAAATATTCACATGAAGAAACTGAAACAATAGTGTCCAAATGATGGATGTGGTTTTTATTTTAAACAGAGGGAGGATCGCTATTGTTTTGTTTTGTCTTTACAGTGATAAGCGTAATACGTTCAGTCAATATTACTTATACTTTATTATTGTTGATTTAACTCTTCTTTGAACTTTTTCTGTCTTTGTATAGGAAAACTGTAAATAATAGCCTTTTATAACATCATAATTATTAATTTTACCAATTATTATATTATCTAGGTCTCCATTTGTTTGCAGGAAAAGAACAGTATCTGGTTTTAAATAAATCTGTACAGTGATATGATGATACACACAGTTTAAGCACAGATTTATGTGTTCCCACTGTTTGTGAATGTGGCCCAATAATGGGATGACCTGTGTTTGACCTGATGTCAGATGTAATTTGTGTAATGGTAGAATTTAGAGTCTGTCCAGCAAATAACAAAAATAATGAAAAACTAAAAACTAATTTGAATATTATCCAGATAATATTAGGGATGGACCGATCTGATATCACGTATCGGTATCGCTCTGATACTGACCTAAATTACTGGATCGGATATCGGAGAGAAATAAAAAATGTAATCCGATCCATTAAGTATCACGAAAGCACCTCACAAAACTTGCGACATGGGGTAACTCAGCTCATAACCTCAGTACGTCAGAGCAGTATGCATCATGTGATAGAGCGGCTGGCGTGCGAGACCTGTCGGTGGTCTGATTGAGCATTTGGAGCCTCGCTACCAACCCGGCATTTCATCTCAGAGAAAGTTATCACAGAGAGAAGTAAAGCAAGCGTGTAAGTTCATCTCTGAATGTTTGTAAAGCATTCCCACGTTAAGCTTAACAACCGATATATGGAGAGGCTGCCTCTTCTCTCCCCCTCCCTCTCCTGCTGCTACTTCAATCATGAAACTGATCAATGATCAGCTGATCGGCTTTTCTGTCGCAAGTCCCGTCTCTCTTGTTTGTTTTTGGCCCACTTTGCACCAGAAAGAGGAAACCAGCGGCTGAACAACAGCAGCACGTTTAAGCTTGATAAGCTGTTGTTAGAATTAGAAAAGTTGAATCAAAACGTGACAGTGAAAACAAACTTTTTGAAATCATGAAGCACAATTTACCAAAGGGGAGACAAAAACGTTAGAAGTTAACACGAGACGTGTAGAGTATTGCAATCTGATTTTGTAGACACTTCCAGAAACAAATGCAATCTTTTAATCACGTCGCCTCATTGTACTCACTTTTTTTTTTGCAAAGGTCAAATTACTCCTGACTGAGCAATCAAAGAAACTCCCTGCTTATCCCAGTACACCCAACAGTAGTAAAAATGTGGCAAAAACAGTGGTAAAAATGCACATTAATTTCCACTTCTTAAAATTGGTGGAAAACTTGTTTAAAATTTGTTGTAATTTGACTGGAAAAACACTTTAACTCTTCCCATGAAACTGAAATGTCAGTTGACCAGAAGAAAGAAGATTGTAGCTGTTTAGGATTATCAAATTCGATGGTGGAGTAATGTATATTGTAGGACTCCAGGAAATGAATGTAAGTCAGTGTAATGTTCTCTGAAGTGATGGAAGCATGACTCCGATCCATAACTCCCCACAGTTACCACATGGCCTGGTCACCATGAGACTGAACTGCCACTGAGAGTGTTTGTATGTGTGTGTTTGGGCCACGCACAGGTGCTAACAATTCATTTTTCCCCATTTAAAATTATTTTAAGAATCAAATGATAGAATCCTCTGGGAAGTGAGTGGATAAATGGTTATTAAAATTAAAAGTAAAAGGAATAATTACATGACTAATGGCACATAATTTTTATATAAATATATCTGCGACTGTGTGTGTGTGCGTGTATGTATGTGTGTGTGTGTGTGTGTGTGTGTGTGTGTGTGTGTGTGTGTGTGTGTGTGTGTGTGTGTGTGTGTGTGTGTGTGTGTGTTTCTCAGAAGATGGTAGTGG